TATACAGCTACGTACTGGTTCATGGCATGTTTGTGAAGTGTCCTGAAACAATCGATTCGCTCTACAAAGACAAACTTCAGCCAAAGACATCTGAAACACCCAAACACTGCACAACACCCCAAGAACATGTGCAAATAAACATAGCCAAGCAGTTGTGAGCACCAGGGAATGAGATAACACCACGCACCTCGTTTCCTTCATGGTGGACGGATCAGGGGTCAGAAAGGTACAGAACAAGACCTGGTCTTGGAAACTGCACTTCGCTTCCTGGTTGATAGCTTTGATGGTCTGTTCCAGCTTTGTAGCTTCTTGTTTGTACATTACGTCCGGCTGCGTGGGTATGGTGGGTTTAATTACGGCTTGAGTACTAATTCGCGGTTAGCATAGTTACACAAATGGGTGTTGACACATAGTCCAAAGCCACAATAAATCGGGCAGGGCACAAGTAGTAATTCTATTTTGTACAATTTCGGTTCTCCGACGATACACCGATGAGCCCAAGTGCCATTTCGTAAGTCTACAAGGTCATTGTCAGACTCGAAATGAAGTATGAATATTCACGGTGAAAACATGCGTCACTCCATTTGGCTCAATTTCTATGTGCATAAGACACGAGATTTAAAATAATAGGAGAATGTCGGCTTAAATGAGCCGAAATTGTTCGTATCGCCAGTCCACTGAATAACACGCGCTGTCTAGTGAGCATACTAACCAATTTCATTAGTATACATTGGCTTCGTGGAGTTTAGGGTTTAGGGTTTAAACTCTAAAAAATAGAGACAGAACCTACGCCTGAACAAGCTTACCCTCGATACACATAGCAACTCACTAAACAAGCACAAAAATCCTAAAACAGACCAACAAATTGCCATCGATAGTTCGCCCACATAGCAAATCAACAAACACACCCTTCCCCTCCCTCCAAACCCTAAAAATCCTAAACAGACAACCCCTCGTCCGCACACCCTGACGCACCTTGACCAGCAGATTGATGCTGCGTACCGAACTGCGCACAAACGTCATGACATCCTCGCCGAGCGGTAGCAGATGCTTGGCGATCCCAGGGGTGTCTAGATGTATCTGCCGATCCACACCCGTAGACACGGCCGTGAACAGCAGCAGGGGAACTAGCTGCGGCTGCACCTGCACCTGCACCTGCACCTGGGACTGGGACCCATCTTTTAATAATTGGTCCTGGGTCCGAGCCTGGACTTGGGGCTGGGGCTGGGGCTGGGTGTGTAAGTCATGCTTCTTTGTTTGCTGCAGTCCATTGATCTGCTCGTGGAAGGACTGTGCTCCTGTGAACCGTATGTGAATATCGGTACCAGGAATGACTACAGGTTTCGGTTCTATTGTATCGCGGTAGGTAGAAGATTGCAGAATCAAGGGGTAGAGATTCAAAGAGACGCACAATACCAGAGAGACGCACAATACAATATAAACGTAATGATGCAGAACATTATGTTGTAGTGTCAACTCAATGCATATCTATTGTGAATGGAAAGGAATAGTTTCTTCGGATACATAACATAACATGTGAATGTATATTTATTAAAAAACCCACAAACACACACACACACTTATATATATATATATATATATATAAACTATTACTATTATATTTATATACATATATATATATATTATTTATATATATTATTCTATAA